AAAAAAAAAAAAAAAAAAAAAAAAAAAAAAAAAAAAAAAAAAATCCTGAATTTGTTCACTCTACAAATATTTATTGAGTTCCTTCATTTGCCAGATAAAGTGAAGTTGTTAAGAAAAATAAAAAGTAACTGCTGCCCTTGGGGTGTTCATTGTCACTGAAGAAGAAAATCAAAACAAGGAGAAAGTGTGTGGAAAGCAGGCAAGCTGGGGCTTTGGGGCTCCATCCCCAACCTCGCGTGTAGGGCTGTGATGATCTCAACCTCCCCGGGTCGAGGAAGGCGCCGACGGAGCGCCATTTTGGGAACACGGATGGGGACAATGTTGCCAGGCAAGAAGCATTCAGAAAAGGGGGGTACAAAATATGCACCTGCATCAACTAGCTGGTGGAATGGTGAGGTCTAGAGATGGAGAAAGGGAGCAAGCACCTAGCAAGACCCACACGCTACAGGAACGAGGACTTTCCGTCCAAATGTCCAAAAGCCTACCCTGAGGGGAAGAGTAACAGATGGGAGGAATGTGCTAACCATTACAGGTCAGAGCAATCTGTCTGGAAACCACACTGAGGAGGGACGGTTCACAGGGATCTAGGAAACATGGAGACCCACTCAAGAACGATCATTAGCATATTCATTCCATGAATACTTATTGAAGGTCTACCTTACACCAGATACTGTAGTAGTTTCTGGGGAGAAGGTAGAGAAATGGATTCACTTTCTCCTTCTATAAACCTTAGAAGCTAGTGAGGCAGTCAGTAAAAAGGACCTACAGAAAAGTGCAAAATATGCCATGAAAGGAAGAGTAATTGGGGCTTCATTCATTCATTCTCTAAATATTTAATACTCCCAAAAGATGGGGGTATAGGGAAAAACAAGAACCAAGACCTGTCATGGAAAGGTATAAGATCCCAAAGATGAATGTAACTGTACTGCGTACCTAGAAAGTACCTATAAACTTAAAAAAAGATTATGAGAGATTGAAGAGTGAAGACAGAGCAAATGCAATGGATAATTAAACAAAATAAAGTAAATTAAATTAATAATTGATGTGGAAGGTCATCGTGTTGGGTAACTAAAAAATTGCACCATGCAGTGAGTTGGAACAGGAATTTCAGCAAGAAATTCTGGTTGGCAAGAGCAATGACCTTGGATTTAACATCTTGAGTTATGTTGATTTTTATGGAAGTCTATAAGTTTATACTAAAATGTTCTATCAATGGTAAAAGCTATAAAACTTGCATTTTTATCAAAAATTTAAATATTTGCACAAATGAACAGAGTAATATTCTTATGTAGCATTATCCAACTTCAGCAATTATCAGTTCAGAGCCAATCTTATTTGATCTTTATTCCTAGCTACATTCCCATCCCTGTATTACTTTGAAGAAAATCCCAGCTATCATGTAACTCTACTTCTAAGTATTTCCTTGTGCATCTTTAAAGAATCTTTATTAAAATACATGAAACACCAAATCTCTACTGTATATTTAAATATATACAGTTTGCATTTAATTAGAAATGTTATTTGAAATGAGAAAAATACCTTATAGTGCTATTAATGTAAGAAATTAGTTATCATGTTTTTACCATTTGAAAATTTCCTAAGTTCTACTAAAGTTATGCAATAAAATTAAATGTGTGTACTCATTATGCTGGCATTTACAGAATGCATATGCTACTGAAGATAGCAGACATCACAGTCAATAAGAAACGACAGGTGTACTTGTAACCGTAAGCTACAATGTGTGACTCACCGACTGTCACTAACCTCCAGGGACTTTCATGTGTCAGAGATCCCTTTTCTTCTCTTTCTCTCAAAATGAAAAAAATAAAATAAAGAAGCTGCTCATGAAACTACAATGCATTAGAAGAAAAAAAAACCCTTAAAACCAAGGTTCAAAAATAGACAAAGGAAGCTTATTTCAGCTAAGTTATATACCAATATAGGGTGGTTTTGCCTGCTGAAAGTTAAACCCCACACATATAAATTGTTAAAGGTGGAAGGGACCTTTGGTTCACTTCTCATAGAATAGATAAATGTAATAATTATCCATTCTAATTTTTGCTTTAAAATTAAGTTGCACTTGGACAGACCAATTTTCCCTTGACACTCTTAGGTTTACCTGTGCTTAAATACAAATTTCAGATAAAATGAACCCATATAAATGAGTTTCTAAAAAACTCTTTAATATAAATAAATCACGATATACACAGTTTTAAAACCAATGCACACAGAGCTTGAGAAGCAAATAGTGTCATTCTAGTTATATATCATTTCTGAAGAAAATCAAGGCAACTGCCACTAGTGTAAATGGATCAGGATGATAGCCCAGCAAAATTCACATGAAACACTTTTTGTAAAGAACACATAAATCAAAGATGTTTTACAGATGTTCAAAAATATAGGCAGTTACATAATTTTTAAATTTTCTTAGCCAAAAGATATACAGTATTTGGCGTCCTTGAATAATTAATTATTAGAGGTGCAAATACTTTTTTTAGGGTCCTCTTTTAGGCTTGTACCTAGTAATAATGGTATCTTTATGTTCAGAACACAGTAGTATAGAGGCCAACACAGCAGAAACAGAATAAATTTTATTCACTGTTTAAGAAGAAAAGGGGACCAAAAACTCTCTTCTTAAACAACAGAAGTAATTTAGAATAGTAAAAATAAGATAGGAAGGTCCACTTGCCAAGCTAAAAGGATTTGCTTTAGAAACAGGTAAACAATGGTAGTCTTAGAATGTAAGCTTCATTGCCTTTATTTTCCAATAAGTGAATTCTAGAACCATTGATCAATAAAGAAATATTACCACACAGCATATAAAACAGCACTACGCTAAGTACATAGAGAGACACAAAAGTGAATGACTTCTCAAGGAAAAAAAATTCTCTCCACTGAAGGGGGGAATAAAAGGTCAATTCTATGGGGGAAGTAAGAGTAAAGTTTCTAGCCATTATAATTTAACCAAGATCCAAACTCGTATTGTTTTGATTTTATTTTGAAGGCCTGCAGCCTAACAGACTATCAACCTAAAAATGATTCGATTTCTATTTTTAATGCACTCATATGCTACAGAGAAAAAGTTTGAGAAATGAATATTTAGGAGAGTTTTCAGTGACCTTTCTGCAAAGAAAAACAAATGTCATGCTTTTCACAATCTACTGTCCCTCAAGCAGAAAGAATAATACATAAAAAGATTAAATTGAAAATAAGCTGAATCGTAGTAGAGCTGAACAATATATAAATACACAGTAAGATGAATAATAATGCATGCATTATAATGCATAAGTTGAATAATACATAAGATAAGGAAGTTGAGAGAAATAAGATGGCAAAAGAATTAGCTGAAATCTCTGTCCGTAGAAATAAGACAGGAACTACTAGTGGCTGAATAGAAAAAAATAAAGGCCACTGAGAGCTGGAAATTAGCAGAGAAAGTTAAATTTCATTTAGAAAGGAACTATTTACAAATAAAGTTACTTCAAAATAAAAAAAACTTTCTAAAAATTTTATTTATTTTTTTCTTTTCTGGTATCTTTCACCAAACCTTTTTACTTGTCTTGGATGAATCATTTCCTTCCTAGCGTCCTTCTCCAGGCCTTCTGTGTGATTGCCAATGACAAAAAATGGTAGCTGGAATCACATGCTTTAGTCTTTTTCATAGTAAGCTATTACGGATCTTCCTTGCCAACCCATTCTATTTTAATTTTAGCTAAGCTAATTTGCTTATGGTCTCCTTGAGGGGCAGGAGGAAATGTGCTTTTAACTTTTTGTCATTCCTTGCCTATGACATTCCTTTAGGTTAGAAAGTGGTGTCTTTCTACTCCTTTTCTAGCAAGAGAACAATATTTCATCCATTGAACAAACTTATTTTCCTCTGAGGTAATCTGTCCTGGGAAGTTCTGAGCCTTGTTCGTGACCTTGCGTTTGTAGCTCCTATCATTCAATGGCTTTTTCATTATGATCACTTCTCGCTTGTTCCACTGTATCTTCTTTTTAAAAAACTGACTCATAGCTTGCCTCCTACAGAAGGTAGCTTTATCAAATACTTCAAAAAATGTGGAGTCTGGGAGATTTGGTAGAAGAATTTTTAAAATCCAGGATTGAAAGAAACTTGAGGAGGTAAAGCAGGTACCATGTCCACGTGGCTTAGTGTAGGGTCTCCTGCATGTGGAAGAGGCTGCATGGTGAAATGACAGCTAGCAGTGTAGAATGAGCAAAATCT